TCTCCTTATTTCTGTAATTGTGCTGATACATATTTTTGAGATGTTCTTCCACTCTTTTCTTTACTTCATCATCTGGTTTTGTTGTGCTTTCTTCCATGTTTTTTCATTTCCTTGACCACCTTGTGTTGCCATCTCTTTTTATACATTCATTTGCATGTCCATCTTCCTTTCTGTTTTATTTGCCCTCCTCCCAACCTTCTTCCTTTTCACAGCATTGGAACACGGGAGGTAGTCACCCAGAAGAACTTGTGTGGCTTGGTGCCCATCCGAGATTTCAGACTAGATCCCAGCCTCCTCTACTCTATTCCTTTGCTAGCTCTCAGCCCCAATTTACTGATTGTGTGGCTGTTTCTGAGCATAGCATACCTGGTGGCCAGATTACGTTGCAAGTGAAGATAAGGTTAAAAGGAAAAAAAAAAAAATCCCCTGAACAAAACAACCAAACAAAACCCCAGAAACAAAAACAAGTGCTTGAATGTGTATCGCCACTTGGTACCTGCTGGACAAAGGAATCTGTCATAGCATTGTCTGCCAAGAATTATTATTATTATGCCTTACAATTTTACGTTTCTATTGTACTAAACTGTAAATATACATCAAATTATTTTATCAAAAAGAATTGTATCGAAACTTTAAATTATTGTTCTGCTTTCAGTGCTTGTAACATAGTCTGACATTGGCCTGTTACCTCGTTACTTTAGCCGGCCTGAAGATCTCTTACCAAATACAGTTTTGTGTTACTTCTTTCATGTATTCCAGAGAAAGGAACTCTGTCTGAAAAGAATTTGTATCTTTTTGTATACTTAAGGTGTATGCTAATCTTGCCTTTCATTTTTATGAGGTATGAAGAGAAAAATAAAAACATGGGTGGGGTTTATAAGAAATTACAAGAAATTTATTTAAAGAAATAAACAAATTTCTACCTTCATTTCAAAGCATAATAGCCAAATTACATTACTGAACAGTTTGTAGAACCATGGTCTTGTTCCTTTCTCATGGTTAAGTATGTTCTAATAGACTAGTGTACGCACTCAGAAAACAGCTTGCGATGCACTGCATGCAGAATTATTTCATTCTGTTTGTAGATCTGCATTTTGTAATGTATTAAAGACATAAAGAGAACGACGTGGTTAGGAAGAGGATGTAATTGGCATTGGCCTGCTAATGATCCGTTTAGCTGTTTCAGGTGCTCTGTTACAGAACTTGTTCTGAAACAGGGTGATTATCATCCTAGAAGTTAAAGATACTGGTCTTTAATATTTCAGGCAAGAAGAGGGAGGTATCAGTTACCTCCTTTAGTAGGTGGGTTTGAGGTTTTTCCATTGGGCTTTGCTTTAATTACACTAGCTTAAATATTACTGTTATTGCCATTTTTAAGTGTTGGACAGCTTTAATGAATTACGATGTTGATAGTGACTTAGAGCTAAACGGATGGTGGTAAGTGAACGTTTATTTCAGTGGTGAGACTAAAGCGGCTTACCTAGTTCAGTCACGCAGAATAGTTGCAGATGACAGTTGCTCATCATTTACATGTAACATCAAACTGGGAGAGGCCTATTTAAACCAAACTGTGGTGTTGCTGCAGTAGGCTGGCAGAGCTTGTCGATAGCAATAGCTGATCAAAAAAACCTAACCTCATTTAATGTAGTTTGCTAAATTCATGAAGGGGTTTACTTCGCTTGGTGCCTGAGGTGACAGAAAATTGGGCTTCTGAGGAGAACTCTTCTAGTACTGTGATTTCTATTTTCTACTATTATTAACTTGCTTAAAAAACATAAGTAGCTATAGTTTTTATTATTGACTTCCATGGAATTTGAAAGTTTCCGAGAGAGATACGCTTAAAAGAAGAAAAAAGCACAGTTAGAATAAAAATGAGAATAAAATCCTAAATTTGGTGAATGTTCTAACTAAAAATAGAAGTATGTGGTTATATTTGCGTCTTCATGAAATCAGAATGTACAGTACACTATCTCCTGGTATTTTTCCTCACTATTCTTCCAATCTTGTTTTTAAAAGAAAAAAAAAAGAAAAAAGAAAAAAGAAAAAAAAAAAACCAAACACAAAGTGATATATGTATTTTTTTATACATATATATATATATTTAAGCATGTATCCTATTTATTTTTAGCTGCAATGAACTTAGGTAAAGCCTTACTGCTGGTGATATTTAAAATGATGCTGTGATGATACCGGCATATCCGTGTCCTATGCTGATACGTAGTACCACTGTGTCTCCCTACAAATCATCTCTCCTTTCTGATTAACATTGGTTCATTTGCTGCGGGTACCAGAATCTACCTTTTTACAAAGTGAGCAAACGTCAGGTTGGACTGTGGCCTCATTCTTGTAGTGTGGTGAGTGTCCTGGGCTCAGCCTATCAAGATGGGACGGTACAGGCGTAGCTATAGGTAGGTGTAGTTCCACTGGGCTCCCTGAGATTATCATCAGTCTGTTTAAATGAAGTATGAAGGCTTGGCTCATGACTATCATGAGAGTTGCAGTAAGACCACCCTGACATCCGTCGAGAACGAAAGCCTAGGCTTTCTGAAAACAATCCTTGGTTTTTTCTTTTTCCTAAACTTTGGTGAGGACAAGTTTTCACCTTTGGTTTTTTTTCTTTTTTAGCTTGATCTGTGCTTTCATTCAGGCATGGAAATTTAAAATGCTGTAGTGTGTACTGCTTCTGTGCCTCCAGCAGAAAAAACATGGCACGTAAGTGGTGTGTGAACTACAGCTGTGCCACCGCCCCTGTGGCCCACCTGTGCCACAGAGGGACATGTGCAGTAACGGGATGCAGTGGAATGAATTATGAACAGAATGGTTCACTTTGGAGTGAAAACGCTCATCCAGCATCCCATATTTTCTAGTTAAATTTACTGGGTTTTTTAGTACTCTAAACTGTAATTTGTGCACATTTTTGATGAATCTATTTGACTGCAACAGCCTTTGGGGGAGTTCTGTAAAACGCGAAACAGTGCCATAAAAAGCATCCTCGCGTACAATCCGCTTTATAAAAGGCAGGCACGGAATGTGCCCCTTAAACGGAATGCTCATTAAACTGTTTCTTAAAGCAAGGAGTTACAGTCTTTTATGAAATTAAGCTGGGTGGTACCTACAGAACACGGTTACAGTCCGTTTAATTAGCAGCTAGAAGAGGTCGGTAAGAGCGAGAGAGCTGTCAAGCTGAACCAGAATCCACACTCCCACCTTGAACCAGCTGACCACAGTTGACCTGGCAGCTGCTGTGGCCATCTCCAGGACAGGACTGAGGTGACATTCCCACCCTAGGAGGGTGTACTGTACACTTTGCCATGAAGCTCTGGTGTTCATTGGGGAGGTTTCGGTTCTCTATCAGGGAGAGATGTTCTCCTGCAAGCCTAAATTGATCTACAGTACATATGTAAAAGATAGTGCTTCCTCTTTGTACGTCTGTTTTTGGATATAATCAGAGGAACTCTGAAGTAGATTTACAAGTGTAAAGAAGCCTTATAACTGGAGTAGTTTTTATATTGTAGCACAGAACCTCTTTGTAATGTGGGGCGGTTGCACCAAAACGTTGGGTAAAAATGAAATTCTGCACAGCTTTGTTTCATTGGGGTGATGACTGTCAACGCAGCCAGTCTTTTCTGCACCCACACAAAGCTGCTATTTCACGATTAAGGGGTTTTTTTTTTAGACTTTATTGGTTTTCAAGTCAATTTATGCATGCCGAGGTAACTGGAAAGTCATTATTTTTGTGTATCAGCTCTAATCTTTAAGTAAGTACTGATAATACTGACATACAGGGAATAACAAAATCCCTTTAAAGCTCTTACTGAGAGTGCAGCAGTTTTCCTTTTTCAGCTTAATATACTGATGAATTAGCAGAACTGCCTGTAAGCAATCTCTTGGGATCCCTTGTGCCATGGAGCGGCAGGTGAATCCACAACAGTGTACCCTGAAATACATGAAACCCTTGTGAAAGAACTTTTTCAGTAGATGCACTGCTGCTTTTTAGAAATGCAAAACTAGCGATCAGACATAGCATGTGTCCATTCTGTTTGCTTCTTGCTAGCATTGTATGATGAGTCATCACTTTTAATATTTGCAGTGGCAAATTAATTAAACGCTCATTAAATATAACCAACTTTTTTTTAATGCTGTAAAATAACCAGTTCATTTCATCTTAGTTTGTCGTTTTGGTTTGGGTTTTTTTTTTCCTTTTTACTGCTGTCATTTTTTTTGTGCTTGTTTTTTTTCCCCAGTGAGGGTTGTCGGCGAGAAAATACAATGAAGAATGTTGGATGTCGCAAGTATGCATTTAATTCCCTGCAACTGAAGGCTTTCCCAAAGTATTACAGGCCTCCAGAAGGAACTTATGGAAAAGTTGAAACATAAGCATATTATGTCCTTTAATTGCTGTTCCATTAAAACATGTGGATACACTCTAGATTAATAGATGACTGTCATCCAGAAGAGATAAATAACCTTTCTGTACGTTTCGCTAGGTTATACAGAGCATGTTACTTGCAGAATTGGAATCTATAGTAACAGTTATCCTGACACCTTAGCTTGAGAATAGTGCGATGACTCTCTGCCCGTTTAAATAGCCTTCAGTGTACGTCCGATGAACAGATACCGTGCTACTTCATAATCACCTATATGCAAATAGCTAGGCACCTCCTGGGTGGGCAAGGACTCTAGGAACGGCGTTTAGGCAGCTGTTTCACATCACATCTTTTTATACTGAGTTGACTTGAGATGGAGCTTTTCATAAACTTTTTAAAACTGAGGGTAGAACTCAAAAGTTGTAAATAAAAAGGGATTGGATCCTAGACAGTCTAATGACTGTAGAATGCATTGTTACAATCAAGAAACAGGGGTTTAACTTAAAAAAAAATAATCAGCACAATAAAAGCCAGGAGTATAAATTGTTTTACTGTGTATAGGAGGCCATCGTCGCTGAACAGTAACGTACAAGGCCAGACACATGAGGTCTCGTTTCTAGTTCTGTCCAAAAAATTCCTGTTTTCTTCAGCAGATAAGGACTTGGGCACACATCCTAACTGATTTTTAAAAACGTTTCCAAAAACGTAATGATGCTTAACCAGTAATGCCAGCGACAGTCCCCCCCTTGAACCCCTTCAAACTACAAGGCACATGCAACGAGCTGATGTTGCACGTGACATGTTCAGAATGTGCCGTGGTATTGTGTAGTAATTAACACATTTTTACCCATGGCTTTTTATATCACTTCTGGACTGTAAGCATTGTAAGGGGGGTACTTTTTTTTCTGATTGGTGTTTGGGTTTTTTCCACATCAATTTTGCATGTCAGTACAAAAATGCTCAAAGCGCCCAGTGCCTCCCCGTTACGCCCTAACCGAAACTAGTTCCCGTTTACCTTTGCATCTTCCCTGGGCAGGGGTTCAGAATCTGCGGGGGGAGGTATGGCTGTTTTCAGGGTATTTCTGAGGAAGGTAGCGATGCCCCACGAAGGTAGAAAGGAATTTCTCGCGTGCTGCTGCTAACGCGTGAGAACCGCAGGCGTGTTCTGGTGCATGAGTGAGGTGATCAGTTGGATAGCATCTGATAAAAGATTTTCAACAGATCTCCTCGGAAACGATCTCCCAAAGAATGCCTTTGAAGCTAAGACACCTTTTCCAAAGCAGCTAAACATTAATTTCCCAGTTTTAACAGAATTAAGTCATCTCTAGCTGGCTTCGTTCAGCGCACTCTGCCCTTGCCTTCTTGTTTCTAAGGGTCTAAGTTTTACAGTAGAAAAATCTGCCCATTTATTCTTGTGAGAGTAGCAACAGCCAGGTAAGTATATGGCTGTTTTCTGATTTCTTTCTCCCTCTCACTGGTGTTTGTCTGTGCTGTCACTGCTCTATCAATCAGTCATGTTCATTCTGCTCCCATGTAGGTTTGGGGGTTCCAGGTCTAGCAGTTTTTGCATTTTGCTCTTCGCAGTTTAACACCGAGCAGCACGTCACAAAGCCAGGTCAGAGAGTTCTGCTGAAGTGGGTCGTTACCATTACTGCAGTCTCTCTAGGACACCAAAGCACTGAACCCTGTGCAAAATCAGTGCAGTGTAGTACCTGTCCCAGGTCCGAACAAATCATCTGCAGTAGAACAGTCCCTGGGAAATTTTACAAACCCTGTTCGCCAGTTAATAAATGTTGATTTTATTTTTTTGCTAAGATGTAAACAAATACATGGTGAAAAACTTTCCAGTGGGATCTCTTCGGACACGTTACTCCATTAGTTCTGCTCAGCCTTCAGTCCCTGGCCCGTTATTAAATGCTACATTTATTTTTGTATAAACGATACTCTTTATATCCCTTAGTTTTTATGAGTTGATAATTTTATTTTGTATATTTCAAACATAGTTAATTATATTTTACATCCTGTATTGTTACACTAAAAATCTTCCAATGTTCAGCTTCAGAAGACAATGACAAGGGGTCTGTTGTAAGAATTAGCAGAGCCGCTCTTAGACTGTGGCCAACAATCAGTAGAACTACTCTAGAGCTTAGCGATCCTTTATTTATTTTGTATACCAGTGTAATCAGAAAACATTGCTGAATTTTGTATGTGCATGGTTTTTGCTCCCTTTTTTAAAGTGGTGGAATACCAGTCTCGAGTACTGCGTTATTTTGTTTAAAATACTCCGGTTTCAGTATGCTTACACGTAAAGCACTGTGGTCCAGCCGGCTTTTTATATCTACGTTGTCAGTACATGCGCATCGACGGGCTCGTTCCAGGGGCGTTAACGAACCGTAAGATCTCGAGCAGTTCATCAAAAAGGAAAAACTGTGAAACTTGAAATCCACGTAGAATGCTTCACAAGGGTGAAGTAAGCTTTTCTGTTGCACAGGAGAGGCGACTTTAAGGATTGCTGTAAAATGAAGTTCTGTCTAATGTTCTTTTTTGAGTACGTTTTTTAAATTATAAAACATACAAAGGTAAAAAAAAAAAAAACAAACTGTTGCCAAGTATGTTCTGTGTATGTTCTGTGAAAGTACCTGCAGCACAGTTGCCTTTTGTTTCATTTATACATGTAAAATTATTGTATAATACAACACTGTTTTGTCCCAACACAACTGTATTTGCCAAGCTTTGTGCATTGAAATATTTTTATTTATTTGGTTTTGGGCAGTATTAATATATCATAAACATATGGCTACTGTTTTATATATTCTAGTTCATCCAATCCATGTATGCTGTAAATGTGCTAGTCTTTAGGGTGAAAACCAATAAAGAACTGACAAGAATGACAAACGGCGGCTTACTTTTAATGCCTTTGTGGTAAATGAAAATACACACTTTCAGGTTCCCTGACTTGATACGCTTCATCTGTTGGAGAAGACATTAAAGCTGAGTTGTGCACGGAGCTGTTTTACACAGACGCGCAAGTCTGGTCAGGACGTCGTCACTTCTAGACCCTGCTGAAGTACAGCTGCTGTCAGTGTTCTGGAGTTAAGCCAGGCACCAGTTTGTCCCATCGGCTGTGCGTTCAGCAACAGCAGCTGAACAAAGTAGCGGCATGGGATTTTTTTTTTTTCGCTTGATTTTATATACTTTCTCTTCTGTAAGGCTTTCCTGAGCTTCGTTCTCTGTTTGTTCACTCTTCCTTCCATTAACAGAATCCTTTCTCTCCTGCTGCTTCTCCTTCGGCCAACTCAGCCCTCCAGCAGCTTTAGTAGTTGGGCTGCTTTTCAGCAGGGATAGTTGCCACTGGTGACTGTCCTTTTCATTTCAGGTTAAACAAATTTCATATAACAGTGTAACAGACAATACTCCAGAGTGTTCTGATTTCTATAAAACATGAAGAATGGAACATGAAAATGTAAGTCTGCTGTCACTGGATGTTTGAGAAGTGCCAAATACAGTTTTGTTTGTGTGAAAAAAGAGCTGAGGACCACCATTCACTGGGGCTCAGTGAATTAGTTACGCAGAAAGAAAAACAGTACCAGGAAAAAACCCACACTGCTTTCATTCAAAGTGCAGAAAGACAAGATGCTGGAGAGGTGGGGATTCCTAAACTGCAAATACATACACATAACCTGTGCGTACATCCGCATATCTCCATTTCAGGGGTTTTAAACTGGTGTCAAAAAGTATCTACCAGTGTTCTTTTTAATTTAAAAAGGTGAGGTGTTTGAAAGATGGCTGAAAGCTTAACGTCTTTAAAAGGCGTTCTGAGCTCTTGGAGAAATCGCCGCTTGAAGCGGAGATAGGTGTCTCTGTGAAGACTGCGCCGTTCAAACTCCAAGGGGAGAACCCGGGTTCCCTGTGGAACTGGGGCTGTATGAAGGGCCTGCGCATGTCCGTGGGCTGTAAATGATGCCGTGGGGAGCTGCTGGGAGCAGTGACGACTGCATGCTTTGGTCTGGAACCACAGCTCGTTCCCTCTCTTTGCCGTGCCTTTAGGTGGACGGCTGCCTTCAGGCAGGACTTGAAGCTGCGGTACAGCCTTCCGGGCACGGGCACCAACTGCGCTTCAGAAGGGCTCGCCTGGTGTCGCAAACGGAATGTCTTGAAGCTTGAGACGTGTACTCCGGCAGAAGAGGGGAAATTTGAATAGATGCAACAGAAAAAACGCATGAGAGAATGGAAAACCCGAGAATAATACGAAGAAAAAAAAGCAAACCCCTTGTTTAAACTAGAAGGAGAGTCCTCGTTAGAAAAAAACTGTAGGTAGTTTTGGTGAAAGAGTAAGCTTTTTCATCATTTCCTAGTTCATGAATTTCTAAGGCCCACCTCAGAAGTCTTGTGCCTGTATGTTGCTGCCGACTGCATGTGTCCAAATTAGCGCTCTCTCACAAACTACAAGAATTTCAGGCTGTGAATGGGAAAGCTTAACTCAACAGCAGCCCCTTTTTCCCACATTATTTTAAATATCAGGCAAACTTTCTGCTCCCAATTGATAAGATATTTTGCCCGTTGCAACTGACTCCCTTTGGCAGCACGATGGTGACGTGCGGAGCTGTGTCCTCCTTTATTCAGTAGCGTCCAACCCGATCAGTCCATGGCACGAAAGCACGGTTTATCAGAGCCCGGCATCCCTGCCAAGCATCCCATTTTTTCTTAAGCTGTGCCAACATGAAGTTTTACATTACCGGCCAGTCTGGTCCTATAGTTCGGGATGTTTTCTGTGTTCTGCACAGACTTCAAGCTCTCGCCTTCAGCATCAAGAAGCTCTCATGTGCCTGTGGTGGCTGCTGTATTTGTGCACATACCCCAAGTATTCTGACGGTGAAGTTCTGCAAGTCTGCTGTGTTGCACAGATCTGGAATATGAATGGATTCCACTGTGCCCGGAACCGGTGATCTGGGATGGGAATGGTTTTGTTGGCTTAGTGCTCCCGTCGGGGTCATTAGAAACCTTTCCTGATAAAACTGCACAGGGACTGCTGGCCAAAGCCTCCGGGAGAGAGGTTAGGAGTACATCCCAGTTGGATGGTGGGGGGAAAAGGGGAGAAGTTTTAGAAAATTCTCAATCTAATTTAAAGTTTTAGTGATAAGGAGTATGGAACTGGACTACAAAGCAGTTACTTACGCACAGGACCCCCAGATCAGCCAGGGTTCTGGTAACTTTAGTTGCTTCAGCCTGCTGCTTCACACAAGCTCATGGAGCTTCTCCGACACACGTCAAAGCACCACTGACTCGCGTGACGTACATCGGGTCCGGACGGATGCCGTTTGCCCCTTTATCCCCGCCGCGATGAGCCAGTGATGGGCGCGTGACAGACTTAACAAGAACAGGAGTCGTTAACGAGAGCAAAGCCGTTAAGCGGGAACAGCCCTTCAAACGGGCAGCGGGCGAGCCTGGCAGGTGCTCTGTGTTCCGCCCCAAAGCCGGGAATGACCGTAACGCCGGTGAGC